ATATTTTATTTACCATATTTTTGCTACACGAGTTTCCGGTCTCGCGACCTTCATCAGGGAAAGAGTGGTTATTTCCACACAGTATTAAAAGGAATTAATTTTCTTTATGTTTCTTTTTATGTTTAACCATTGTCTTTTGTATGCAGTAAGTAACCCAAATGTTTATCTTGGACTGGTGGTGAAATTATTCTTCTGCCTAAGGGCTAATAAAACAATTAGGATTGGTCAGAGAAAGGGCAAAGGTTAGAGAAAGGGCAAAGGGCAAAGGTTTTTGGTTTTATCTTTTTATGACCCCTGTATCTTCTTAGACCTAACTCCATTTTTGTGTATTGTGTGTGCATGTGTGTTTTTGATTGCACATGTATGCATATTCCTTCTCCATACATATATACTGTTTTCTTATAAATTAAATGTATATATATATATATATATATATATATATATATATATATATATATATATATATATATATATATATGTATATAAATAAAAAGAAAGAACAGTAAGATATAAAATCCGGTGTTCTTATAGATATTTTATTTTTACAAAATAGTGCTCAATGTAAATTTACAGAGCATTAATATTATAAATTAATTGATTTAAAATATATTTTTTTTTCGCTACACAGTTCCAACCATGTTTCAAAAATAGAAGCTAAAAACCCTGAATTTAATTTTGCAATTAAATTAAAAGCATTAGTTCCATTTCATCTTCAAGCGAATTTTTTCCAAATATTTTTAATCAATTAATTTATATATATATATATATATATATATATATATATATATATATATATATATATATATATAATATTATATATATATATATATATATATATATATATATTTTCTATTTTGTGTAGGGTTCATTTTTAAGTGAGTAGTCTATTGTGTTTGTTTTTTTTATATATATATATATATATATATATATATATATATATATATATATATATATATATCTTTTTTGCATAGATACTTGAGTGTGTATGTGTGTGTGCGCACGCGCGTGTGTGTGTGTGGTCCGACCAGTGTATGCTGTGTGTTTATGTGTATGGGGTTTATGATCTGTTTTGTGCTGGTTTAAATGAAGTTTTTTCATGTATTTGTAGATAAGAATGACTGTCTGTTTGATATATTGACATAAAATTAAATTTAACTTTACCTTGATTACATTTGTAGATTTGATGTGATACAAAGAGGCTTTCTCCTGTCTAGTAATTTCATGTTGCTTTTGTGAAGGGAAACTCTCTTGTTTACTGCTTTGCTGATAACTATATAGGACTTTTGTGCATTTTGTGCTGCTCGAGTAGAACTTACTTCTCACCGATGGAATACAGAGGATATGTGGGTTGATTGCTACTATGTAAGTGTCATGATGCGTTCTTGCTGTGAATGTTTACCTCGGCGGGACCAGGGGATCCCCATTAATAAATACTTTCAGGAACCTATCTGTTAGGAAGGATTTTAGGATCGAGAAGACAATTCAAGTGATTCCATAACTGGAAAGCTTGTGTAGTAAACATTTGAGCCACATCTAGTCGAAGGTTTTTGAGATATCTAGTGCTGTGGTCCTCGACGTGTGTTTGTCCTCTAATATGCGGGTGGTGTATTCGATAATGGCTTGGAATTGATAGTCAGAGAGCCTAGTTCCAATTCCAGTCGGATTCGTTTTATTCACATTCGCGCAAACATCCTTGGGAAAAGGTAGGAATTCACCTCTTCTCGTTCGAATTATGGGTTAATTACTAAGACTTGTATCACTAAAATCATTATAAAAAATTAAACTGCGTATATAATAATTAGAATTTGATATTAAATAATCCATAGAGGTTGATATGCCGCTACAGAAAAGCAATCGACAATCTCCTTCTCCAGGTAGAGACTGCAGCAGAAGCTGTGGGATGACATGTAAATTTCAAGGAAACCGGGTATATGTTATATGCGTTAAAGTAAAAAATTATCCGCACTTTCGCCATAACATATCTTTAGTTTTATCACACTGCCTTCTGCTCATGCGTGCTTATAGTTGGTACTATTGTGGTCATATGATCAGTGTTGAAATGTTACTAAACTCGTTTTGGTAGTATTGAATGATAAAGCCAGTGTCCATCCCCTCCACATCTCATTGGAGATGTGATAGCAAAGGTGAAAGACGAGAAGTACTGGTCATCTAGATTACTGAAGGTGCACACATAAACCGTCGAATCGTCTGCATATATATTGACTAAGAATCTGAGAATGTTCTAGGGAAGATCGTTAATATAACGCAGAAGGGGGATAGGACCGATGAGAACGCTTTGGGTTACGCCAGCAATGATCTCATGAGCACTGACGAAGTTAAGGAACCTACCTGATAGAAAAACTTAATTATGAAAAGAACTAAGCACCTCTATACAATCACTGCCATTTGCGTCTGGTCAGTATCTACACCTACCTATTTGTACAGTTAGTAACCAGTGACTGACTTACTATGAAAATTAGGAAGCTACAGAATTGACTCAGAAAGGCTTTTTTTTAAAAAGTGAATTTCTCAATTAAAATAATGGACAACTTTTTAAGTGTTTGTTATTAAAATAAGATAAAATCATAAACTAATTGCTTGAAGTACTTAATATTGTCTTTAGAATATAACCCGTTTGAAAGGGCCTTAAAATATACTTTTATTTGGTTAAATATAAAAATTTACTAGAGGGCTTGCAGCTCGAACTGCTAGCTATAGCAGCTCATTCAGTTCATCATACCTCGTAAATAATGGACTCTTCCGCTTTGATCGCGAGGAAAGACAGAAAAGACATATGAGAAACGCTGTTAAGTTTAAGGGAGAAAAAAAAAGGAATTCAAACAGGAAAGACGTGAAATTTTGACGAGTATTACTAGCCATTAAAATTCTGCTTGTTTCTCTGTTACTTAGCGTGTATGTTAATCCCTGTCATTACCTCAGGCAAATAAATAGACTATTCCTGTTTGATTGCGAAGATAGAAGAAAAAATATATCAAATGCGCTGTTTGGCGTTAAAGCAAGAAAGAAAAAAAGAAAGAAAGAAAGAAAGAAGGAAAGAAAGAAAGAAAGGGGAGATACTGGAGGCAGTAACAGTCTTATGCGTTTAACGTATGCGTCAGTGAAATAAAAAATATTTATTACAACGTATCACTTCTTGAGGTGGTTGGAATGTCGAACAGAACCCTTTATTTCGCTCACTGGGGTAGACTGTTCTAGTTCCATGTTTAATGGATGTCAGTTATCACCTGTTAATTTCCCTCTGAAAGTTCTCCACTGCTTTAACCGGGTACTGAACTCGCACTCTTTGGGTCCTGTCACTGGATCTAACTAACGCCTTTATCCACTGTGCCATGTGCCATTGAGGACATCTGTGTATGAATTTCTGGTTATTATAAACTTAATGTCTTCACTAATCATTTTTTTACCAGTGCTCATATTGCAATTTTTGCTGTTATCATCACATGTTTTTACCAGAGCTCATATTGCAATTTTTGTTGTTATTATCGCTTTTCCCTGGCACTCCTTATTACTGGTTCCCATATTGTATTTATTTCTATTCTTGGTCGGCTCAGGAGATTTTTGTGGCCTAGCATATGTGCTGATTCCTTAAGTTTACGAATTTTTCAGTGGTGTTCTTTGTCTATGATCTCAATTTGATCCCACAGAAGTCGGTGATCTCCCTTCTTTCTCCATAACTGCGGTCCATATAACATCAGGACAACCTTGAAAAGCTTGACGACGCTTCGCAGATATCTCTCCCGAGTAATACCCCCCCCATAGAGAAGAACATGACTAAAGACTGTGTGTACGCTATTCCATACAGCTGCGGAAAGAAATATAAAGGGTTGACAGGCCGCCCCCTTAAGGTAAGACTTCAAGAACACCAAAAAGCTGTAACACGAGGGGAAGTAGAAAAATCAGGCTTGGCTGACCACATATGGAGAGAAAAGGGAGATTTGCAATTATGAATGATATTAATAATAAAAACGATTTGCTTAAATCCATTTTGGTTGTCGTACGAATTTATAAAATGCCATAAATCCGATATTTTTATTAGCATTAAGCTGGTGCCGAGAAGACAAAACTAAGAACCACTTTCCCATCACTAAATCTGATGTCTGTTAATTTGGTCAGATTTTAAGAAATGACACGGAAGACTGGATTGATTTGATTTTTATTTAACGGTTTATCAACCCCTTGGGGTTTATTTAAAGTCGGATTGACAAATTTTGATTGTATTTACTTTTTTTTTGCGTGTGTGAATACTGCATTAACAATTTTGAGGAGAATAACAACGATTTTTCCAGATGACTATTATTTAATCCATAGCTGGGGCGAAGAGATTTATTCATACTTTTCCCGTATGTATTTGAGTGTAAATGAATGTAACGAGCCCGACTGGAATTCGAACTTGTCTCTCCAAATCCCCATTTAGAACCACTATGCATTCATTGCATCACTAAAGAAGCTAGTCCACCTGTTTTAATTTTGTTGGATTTTGTTTTTCTTTCTTTCCTTCTTTTTTCTGTTTGTTTAACTGCCTGTCATTCATTCTTTCTTTCTTTCTGTCTGTCTGTGTTTCTTTCTTTCTTTCTTTCTTTCTTTCTTTCTTTCTTTCTTTCTTTCTGTCTTTCTTTCTTCCCATCTTTCTTTTTTCTTTCTGTCTTTCTTTCTTTCTGTCTTTCTTTCTTTCTTCCTTTCTTTCTTTCTTTCACTGAAAGCAAAAAGCCTCTCTGATATGTCTTTTCGAATCCAACAGATATAGCTTATCAGCAGACCTAACAAGAAAAATGTAGAAAAGGGATTCCAGTTCGATTCCTGTTGTCGGCACACTTCAGGCCGGTTGTTATTAACTTCATTGTTTGATAAAATCAAAAACAGGGATAGCAAAACTCAAACACGCGTACCCAGTAAAAAAAAAATAGTTTAAAGTAATAAGAAATAATGTCAGTTCCTTTCAAAAAAGATATTTTAATCTACATATAAAATGGCCGCTCTTCATGTTTTTCTCTTCTGTGAAACTCTCTCTTTTTTCCTCCTTCCTATCTTCCTTCCTCCCTTCTATTTTCCTCTTCTTCTTCCTTCTTCTTCCCTTCACTTTTCTTCATTCCTTCCCTCTTTATTCCTTTCTTTCTATCTATTTTTGCATATATTTTTCTTTCCTATTTTCCCGCCTCTTTTTTAACTTTTCCTCTGTCCTATGATAGACTTCATGTTTCAGTTTTCTGTGAATCGCTTTCGTTTCTTTCCTTCCCTTTTTTTTCCTTCCGTCGTTGGCACTATTCCGCTATTCTCTTAAGCATGTTATTTTTTTTTTTCATTCATTTCCCCAAAGATTTGCAAATTGGCGTGTTACACGGGCAAGCGAATGACAGCATACAAATGCAAATGATCATTATCCAAAACAAGAAGACCACTCTTAACTCCCTTTCAAGACAATCCAATGAAAATTTTCCAAAGAGAATTTTTTCATGCGCCGAACAACTGAAGAAATCTCACTCACGTCATTTAATAATTTGTTAATTTGTTTTGCAAAATGCCTTCTTTCTTTCTTTCTTTCTTTCTTTCTTTCTTTCTTTCTTTTAAGACTTTTCTCCAACTTCTTTCTTTCTTTCTTTCTTTCTTTCTTTTAAGACTTTTCTCCAACTTCTTTTTCTTTCTTTCTTTCTTTCTTTCTTTCTTTTTTTTTTTTATTTTCTTTCTTTTTCTTTCTTTCTTTTAAGACTTTTCTCCAACTTCTTTTTTTCTTTTTTTTTTTTTTTCTTTCTTTCTTTCGTTTTCTTTCTTTCTTTCTTTTCTCTATTTCATTTTCTTTCTTCTTTTCTTTTCTTTTTTTTTTCATTAGTCTTTTTTTTTTTCTTTCTTTTTTTCTTTCTTTTTTCTTTCGCCATTTCTTTCTTTAATTTTTTTTTTTGTCAAACGGGTCCCTTACGAAAGCCTGGAGTTAGGATGCTGAAGGTAACATCAATAGCTAAGGGACAATATTTTATTTATATCAATTCTACTTTATTAATATATAGAAATATAACAAAGTCTTATCAAACAGAAAATTATTGACAATCTTGGACCTTCGTGTCGGTTTTTACGAGCACAAAGATCTATGTTTGTCAAAATATGATAGATTAATTTCCACCTTAAAATATATTACCGGGTATGTCTACTTAGAACCTTTCCCCGAAAATTCGAAAATAAGTTTTGAAACGGAAATGAGAAGAAACACGCAATGATTAAACATCCGTTTCGTATTTATTCTTTAATATCGTGAAAAATGAAATATTTTACTGAAAGAAATGTACGACATTGAAATTTTAATGACTAATATGGCATAACTTTGCAAAAATAAATTCCATAGGAATGGCTGTACTATGGGGTCGTGTTATATATTCAGGGTAAAATAAATTTCTTTTTCTTGGAAAAGAAAAGAAGACGAGAGTGTCGTATTCTGTCAGTATTCCCACATTTTTAAAAATAACCAGAAGAAAAGGCCTGGCCATCAAACATTGCGATACTAATGGAGGATATAAAACGGCCTCAAAGCATCGCTATGGTTCCGCTGTCCAGATGACTAGGATCAAAGTGTAATATCTGTTCCATCAACCGAAATCTGGCCGGCGGCTCCAACCAGCCAGCAGCAGTTCTAGCCATTGTCATCAGCAGTGACTCCAGCTCTCCATCATCGGCTGCCACTCTCCAACAGACCTCCAGCCATCCTCGGCAACGATATACAACGAACCGCCTTTTTTAGGACAACGAACTCCCCACCATCTACATGAACATGTAGAGAGTTTTTTTTTTGTTTTGCTTAGTGCACTGCAAGCTTATTTTTTTATCTGTACATGTAATGTAAATAATATAAGTAATCATAATACCTCATCTCAGAGATATAGAGGCAGAAACGTTGTGCATACGGCAATGAAGAGGAGGGCAATAGTCCGAATAATGTCAATAAAGCAAGTAATCATAATACCTCATCTCAAAGATACAGAGGCCAAAACGTTGTGAATATGGCAATGAAGATGCGGATAACAGTCCAAATAATGTAAATAATGCAATTGATAATAATACCTCATCTCAGATATATAGAGGCAGAAACGTTGTGAATACGGCAATGAAGATGAGTAACATGGCAATATATTTTCTTAATTCAAATCTTGATTTTGTTTGTTTTTGTCTTGTGCTATTCAATATGTATTAAGGAGCAAATTTACCACCCACAACAAGAGCAGGTCCACTCTTTATTCCCAAATGCTAGAAAAACCGCAAACAAATGAGACTTTCAACTGCTACGTAAAATACAAAAGAACAAACATTTATTACAAAACCTTAAAACAAATAAAATATTTTACAATATGAGCTTGCGCAAATATTTTCTTTAGTATGCCTTATTTAAAAAAGCCGGATAATATAAAATGTATAAAAAAATATACATATGATTTTAAAAGATTTCAAAATGATATGTCCCTGAAAGGGATATATTTGTTCGAAGTAGCAAAGTGGTTACTGACGACTGTAACCGGGTAGGACAATCTAGCAGGTAACCGTAATGGACTGGTCCTCGTCGTAGTGGTAGGCAATAGGCAATAGGCAAAGGCAATAGGCGTAGTCCATGTACCTTCACATCAGTCTGTATTTATGGCTGACACCAGCCAATCATATTACTGTGAGGGGGAACCCAGGTATATGCATATTCATTACATCACAAAACATGGCACGTCTTTACGGGAACCATAGCCTACCCAAGATAGCCCTGTATGGCGTACTCTCCACTGGCAACCGTGACAGGGGTGCACCAAAGAAGCGTTATAAGGACTCCCTGAAAAAGTCCCACGGTACCTGCCACATTGACCATCGCCATTGTAGTCGACACTTGCTGCTGACCGTCAAGCCTGGCGCCGCACTGTCCACCAGGCCGTCTTCACTTTTGAGGACCCTTACTGGGCCAACCTGAAGGAGAAACGCCGCTGGGTTAAGGACCGGGAAACCTCAACAGCTATACCAGACCAGACGTTTAATTGCCGTCGCTGTGACCAGACTTGCCTGTCCCGTATCGGCCTAGTCGGCCATCAGCGTGCCTGCAAATCGGCGTGGACAGCACACTTCATAAATCTTCTTTCGCGAAGCCAAGAAAAAAAAAATCTTCGAAAAACTTAAAATGACTTTGAAAAGGGAATACAAATTTTAGATAAAGCAGAAAATACTTTTTGAATAAAGAGGTTCACTTTCCTAATAGTAAGACAAACAAAATCAAAAAACGAATGGAGCTTAGGCAATTTTGTACTATCGATGTCACGGGGACTTTTTATAATTTTTCTTTTTATAGAACGTAGTTTTTTTTTTTGTTTTTTTTTTAAGTATGCTTCTGTGAAGGCAGCCAACAATTGATTTTCTTTCTTGGTCCTTATTTTGCCTTCTGGATTAAATTTTTGTGTCAGTTCATCTTGGTTGAAATATTTCGTTTTTCTTTAAAGATTTGCTCTCCTTTGGTATTTGAAGCCTCCTTCCGCAGACAGCAGGCTCTGTCTCCTAGTGTGACTCACCATTCCCTTCTGCTGCCTAAAAATTTGATTAACTTCTGATATCTAGACTTCACTTATTATAACAATGGAAGGTGCTCCCGACAACCTTTAACTTCAAATTTACGCGTCTTTCATTGGATGATAAATATAAATTCCTCATATTTTTTTAATTTAAAGAATGAAATTGAAATAATTCACCTTGACCGAAATAATTTGGGCGGTTCTTTAATAGACAATTCTAAAAATAGAAAACTGCGCACCAAATGGATCAATTTTTTATAAACCATCTGGCATTCTTTAAAATACATTTCTCTAAAATGTCCATGTATAAGACAAACATAGGCGATTATAATATTTATTTCCTTATTTACACTTTTTAATTAACTATTACTGGCGTCGAGATTTTTTAAATTCCAGTTTTTATCTTGCTAGATGTAGCCGTAAATTCTATGTTAACAGTTTCTTTTCTTTTTTCGCACTTCTCGCTTGTGGAATTCCATTCCGGTGCCATGCTTTCCAGCCAACTTTAAAATAAAATTTAAATGCAATGTCAATCGCTATCTACTGTCCTCCTGATTACTCTTTCCTCTTCCCGCTCATTATTAATGTTTCTGTTCCTAATTCTTCCACACCCTGTAACCCCTTGTGTTTTAGTGGCTTTATTTCCTTGAATGGGGTGGTACAGATTTAAAAAAAAAAAAAGAAGACATACACTCTATCACTGAAATGATACCTAGACTTTTTGAATTTAAGTGCAGTACTAGACTGATATCGAGACAACATCTATTTACAGTTGAGCTGGCTAGATAGAACCGCAAGTTCTATGCTAACAGTCTCTTTTCTCGCACTTCTTCATTGCATGGGGTGATATCGATTAAAAAAATTCTGTTGTTTTTAATTATTTCGTATTATTAACTAATAAAATTTGTTATAAGGTTGCAATTTATTTTCAGCTTCAGATACACGGGACCGTATTATACTTGTCTAATAAACAAGAAAAGACAACAATTAATAATCTAATGTAAAATCAAATCATCATCGTATATCGATGTACTGTCACAATCTGTTTCTCTTTTCATGCTAGTTTGATTGTAGAAGAAAAATAGTTCATATATTGATATAAACCCGCTTTGTGGGTCAGTCGTGGGGTGGATGCCAAAAGTGATGTGAGCATACGAATGCATCACATTTATCTCGCTATCCATTCATGGTGGAGCGATGCCAAACCTCAAGACTTTCTGGCCAGCTAAATTCCTGCTATTCACAATACACCCAACTCCTATCCTTATCTTTTCCAACTTCTGTCGTAATATCGTTTTTGAGTCTTCACAATAAATCCTGAATGAATGAACAAACGCTCAGACGAACCACAAGAGATATGAACAAGACGAAAGTTTCTCGAACCCTTTTTAACTCAGCCGTGGACCTCTCCGTCGTCCCCTCCACTTTTCTTTGCTCTTTTCATCCCTGTCCGTCTTAAAGGAAGTTGGTTTTATTCCTATTTCCACGAAATCTTATTTAAAGCTAACATGTCGCCATGTTGATGATGTAAAGCGGGTCCGCGTGACGTGTTTTCCGGTTTAAGGTTTCATGTTCACGTTTTCATACAAACGCTATCGGACGTGCCAATTTCGATTCTGGAAATGAAATAAGCAGACAGACGATAACAGGTCAGATATGGATGGGTTGTGATTGAAACTTTTGTCCGGTATAATGAGTTAGCTTTCAGTATGCTAAAAAAAAATGGTGCAGTTGAAAAGAATAAATAAATAAAAATTAATAAAATAAATAATAAATTATTCCAAGTAAATAAATAATAAACAAACCACTCCCGCCAAAATAACCGTTAGAATAAACTACCCACAATGCAACACCGTCCCGTATATATAAATAGTTGAGAAAAAAAAAAACACCACACATGGCCTGATGATAAATAAATTAAGTAAATAATAAACAAATTAACAAACTCCTGCCAAAATAACCATTAGAATAGACTACAACAATCAATCCAAAAACTGCAAACTCTGATTAGAAAAAATAGCTATAATTACCACCCCAAACCACAACAAACTACTAAATAAAGGATCAGAACTCATCTCAAAAAATGATTACTACTTTACTTAAAAAACGAAAAACCGAAAAGAATAAATAAAAATATATAAAACAAGTAAAATAAATTAATCCAAATAAATAAATAAACTACTCACGCCAATATAAGCATTAGAATAGACTACCCACAATGCACCACTGACTCATATATATAAATAGTCGAGAAAAAACACATCGCATGTGGCCTAATGATTGCGTTTAGCATAAAACAGTCTGTCGCTTCTGAGTGTTGACTTTAATGTCCACTTTCATATTTACAACCGCTCTATCCCTAATATTGAGCACTTTATCCCATAAATATTGCATACCTTAACTATA